AGCTGGGACCTGGGAGAGGAGCTGGTCTCTGGCCTCTGACCGCAGCCGCCACGCACTCGCTCTCACTCACGGGGTCCCGGCTGCGCCCCGTCCCCGGCGGGGCTCCTGAGGGGCGGCGGGCTCCCCCACGCCTGCTGCCTCCCGGCGGGACGGTGTCTTGCTTCGCTTCTCGGTTAAGCCCGTGGTCAGTGCCTGCGATAGGGCGACGTCAACGTGCTGACTCCTGGGCAGGCAGCGTCCGGCTTCCTGTTCCCTGGAGTCGGCTGTAAATCGTACTTTTTCTGGTTGCCCGGTTTCCCACTGAGCTGTCACGGATGGTATCTGTCTCTGTCTTTCTATCGCCCGTCTCCTAGTTTTAAAATACGGTTTTATTGACTTCAGAGAGGAAGGGAGTTGGGGGGATAGAAACACCAATGAGAGTCATGGGAGCCCGCACCCCAGGCCTGTGCCCCGACCGGGAATCGAACCGCGACCTCCTGGTTCACATGTCGACACTCGACCACGGAGCCCCGCCGGCCCGGCCGAAGCCTCCTCTTCAATGAGGGTCCCTGCTGCCAGCGTCTGGAGCTTTGGGCCACTCAGGGCCTCTACAGGAGTGCCCAGTCCACGGCTCCCCCCCAACCTGCAGCCTCTGGGCTCCCCTTCTCCAGCCTCAGATCTCGGGGCTCCCCCAGGGCAGGGCCAGGCCTCAGCTGTGTGGGGTGGGCATGGCGGGGACCCTCGCCCACCCTGCTGTTCACACATGTGCACACGCACTCTCTCACGCTCACTCACACGCATGCGCACACGCGTTCCGCCTCACCCCCCTGCAGAGGGACCTGGGTGTGCCGCCCACTCCGTCTCTCAGCAGATTGGAGGGACAGAGGGAGGCACCAGTTGCCCCTGCTCCGTCTCCCCACCCCAAGCCCCGGCTGTGGCCCCGCCCCCATCCACTCTGCACCCCCGTGGTGCTGGGGCACCCCATGTGCTGGTCTCTCCTCTGGGGGTTGTGCCCTCTCCCCGCCTCCCTCCTTTGCACACCTTTGCTGCTCTGTCCTGGGTTTGGGGGAGGAGAGGCCTGAAGGGGGCTGGTTTGTCCCCCCTGTAACCTGAGGTCCCGGGTCCCCTCTTCCTCAGGGTCCTACAGGAGGCGGCGGCAGGTGAGTCTGAGGCTGGTGGAGGTGAGGGGCCCCGTGCCCGCCCTGGCTGACCCACGGCCTCTGCTCTGCCTTCCAGAACATGCCCAATGTCCGCGACCACGACGCCTCGGTCTACCTCCGCCTCCAGGGGGACGCCCTGTCCGTGGGCGGCTACGAGCCCAACCCCATCTTCTGGGAGGAGGTGCGACTCAGAGGGAATGGGGGGGTGGGTGTTGGGGCTGTGTCTCCGCGTGGAGAAGCCTCCTGCCAGGGAGCCCCCGCCTGCAGCTCCTGGTGGGCACTGAGCCACGCAGGCCCTGGCCCACAGGGTCAGACCCGCCCTCCCTGACCTGAGCGCCTGGCCTGCCGGCAGGTCCAGACCTGGGCAGGGGGAGGGCTCCCCTCAAGTCCTCTGTCCGTCAGCCAGCAACACCGTGCCCTGCCCCCTCGGCCACCCCAGGCACGGTGGCCGCCCTCTCATTTCCATGCATTTAGTCCACAGCTTGAATGGATCATGACCCGTTTGGGTCAGATTCTGTGTTACTTTCTGGGGGAACAGGGAGATGAAGATAAAAGTCCCTGTCCCAGGGGACCTGTATTTTGGTGGGGAGACGTACAGTATTCAAGCAAAGGAATACTGAGCGCGCTCGCTCGAGGAGGGGGCGCCTGAGCAGGGCCCTGCGGAGAACAGGTGGGAGAGGAGCTGCGGGGCAGGCGGAGGCCCTGAGGTCAGGCTTGCCCTCCTCGAGTGAAGGAAGGTCCGCGTGGCTGTG